TTCTCACCCCCACCCCAAGCTAACTACACTCTTGACTGCTAAAACTATAGATTGGTTCTATTTTGATTTTTATATAAATTGTTTTATACTGTATATGCACATATATTCTTTGAACTTGTTTAATATTTTTAGGTCTGTGCTTCAAAATGTGTCTGTTTCAGGTCCTGTACAATGGGTTCACTGGTCGAAAAATTACATCACAAATTTTTATTGGTCCTACTTATTACCAGCGTTTGAAGCATATGGTGGATGATAAGATTCATTCTCGTGCTAGGGGTCCTATTCAGATCCTTAATAGACAGCCCATGGAGGGTCGATCTCGGTAAGAGAGCTACATCATCATCATTGTTATTATTAATTAGCGTTTTATTATGAAAAGTGTCAAACACATACAAAAATAGTGACAGTGGTGTAATGAACACCCATGTGCCTGTCACCCCACTCCAACAGTTATCAGCTCATAGCCAATCTTGTTACATCCATCTCCCCGCTCCCACTATTATTAAGCAAAGCCCAGACATCATATAATTTCTTCTGTAAATATTTCAGTATATATGTGGGTAACTCAAAAAGTTCATGGAAAGATTCATATTAGCTTTTAATGCTATTTTTCCACAAACTTTTTGAAATACCTTGCTCTTTAAAAGTGGTTCTGAAATCTCTTGATCCCAGGATGAACCCAAAGAGCTTTTGTTGAAGTGAGTTGTATTTATTGATATTTATCATATTATAAATTAAAAATGAGATTTTAAATGTTTATTAATATATTTTAAAAACACTAACAAACCCATTACACATTAACATAAATAACATGTTTAATGAAAAATAAATATATTTTCTGAGTAAATTTAGTGACAAGAGTGACATTGGTTTACATTTTTGCAAATTTCTTTAGTGAGCTGGCTTAGTAGGAGACAGCTGGATTCTTGTATCTACTTCTGCATTCGTTCCATTGCAATATTTTACTTTTCAATTTAAACATATGGGCTTCCATATGAAGATCTGACCTCACACAGATATGTGGTTGGGAAAGGCTGATTTTTCAGGTAGTTGTGGACATTATTCTTTGATACTACACCAAAATGACAAGCTGTAGTTTTCTTAAAGATTAGTTGCAATGTAGAATCTGAAACCATGTCAGTGAATTTATATTTATTATGTTAAAATTCATTGGTTTATCTTGCACTTTGAATGTATCTTTACACATGCATAATTTTATTGCATCATAATCGGTCACTTGGAAAATATTAGTTCACTGAGTTATGGAGATTTTCAAATGTTGACACATTTTATTATACAAAAAAAAATTACGTTTGTTAATATCATCATTAGGGCCGGCCCGTGGCTGACTTGGGAGAGTGTGGTGCTTACAACACCAAATCAAGGGTTAAGATCCCCTTACTGGTCATCTTTAAAACAAAACAAAACAAAAAAAGCCATCATTGATGTCATTAGAAAAGCATTTAAGTATCAGGAAGCTATTAAGCCCATAGTGGTAAATAAAAGTTTCCTGAAATCCTAATTTTTGCTTGAAAACTCAAATTTTTAGTCATTTTTTAACAAGTATTTAAAAATTGTTTTCCTTGGAGTGAAAAGCTCACTTTGTTCATTTTCTTTCATTTCTTCTTGTTCATTTCTTTGTCTGCCCAATATCAAAGTCTGAATTAATAAGTTAACATAGTTGGTGTCAGCTGGTTTTTCAAATAAAAAAGATATGCCATGGTAAGAGTGAGTAGTTCAAAATCACGCAAGTACTTTTCTTCAAGACAGCCATCTTCAGTATACAGCAGAAGTGCTTTATGAGAACTTCCATTTTGTCACGGAATATTAAAAAGATATATACTCCAGGGTCAGGGTTGGACTTTGTGTTTTGATTACAACCAACAAACCATTAAAAAATTATGCAATAATCAGGGAACTTTGAATACTCGATATTCAATAATGTTAATGAGGTACTGTGGTTAGGTTTTTTTTTTTTTTAAGGTCCTAATCTTTTATTTATTTATTTATTTATTTATTTGTTTATCTATCTATCTATTTATTTATTTATTTATTCATTCCATGAAATTTCATTGGAACCACAGTTACAACAATAGGTACAATAAAGTGGAATAATCTTTCTAATTATAGGAAGAGCTAGACACAAATATTTAGGATACAGTCAGGAATAGATGATGCTCAAGACTGCCCCTGGGGCAGCAGTAGCAGCTTTGGCTTCTGGATAGTGTCCAGACTTAAGATGTATTGAAATCTTCAGCTCTTTACCCTGTGTAACTGAATCCCATGATTCCTGCTATCTGGTCAGGAGATCCTCTGTTAGAATATGCTCTAAATTAGTGTCAAGACTTTTCATTCCTTTTTGAAAGTAATCTTCCCAGAGAATGAGTTTCTGAGGTTGGCAAATCCAAAGTTCATCTGGTGGTGGCAACAGCAACCCAGGAGTCTCACATTGCAAGATGGTGGAAGCAGAGAGCAGAGCAGTTTAACGGTCCTAATCTTTTAGAGCTAAGGTTCTCAAAGTGTGGGTTGTGGACCTCCTGAGGGTCAAAACTATTTTTGTGATAATACTGACAACATATTATTCACTTCTTTCACAGCAGATGTCAGAGTTGACATTTGCACTGATGGTGCAAAAGTGATTAAAACAGCTAGCACCTTAGCACAAATCAAGGCAGTGGAACCAAACTTTACTAGCAGTTGTATTCTCTACTCACGTGAAAGGGGGAAAAAGCAGTTTTACATAAGAATGTCCTAAATGGAGCAGTAAAATGACTAGTTTTATTAAACCTTATTAATGTCTCTCAAGTCCTTTTTTTTTTAATCCATGGGTTGCCCTCCATCTTTTTTCCCTTGCAATTTATTTGTTGAAGAAACTGGATTGTTTGTCCTTGAGGATTTCTTGCAGTCTAGATTTTGTTGATCGCATCCCAGTGCTGTGCCTTCCTGTTTTCCTTGTGAATTGCTAATCTAGATCTTGTAAATTAGATCTAGAGGCTTGATGAGATTTAGGGTTTGAGTTTTTTTGGCAATAATACTTCATAGGTGGTGTTATAAATTTCCAATATCTGGTCGCCGTTCTGTGATTTTAGCAGCTATTAGTGATCAATGCAGTCTTTAACTAAACAAGGATTGCACACTGATACAATTCTAATTTTTATCATTCCTTCTTTATAAATTAGCTGGATTACTTCTAAAACTTTGTTTCCTCAGCTGTTTGGTTTCCTGGTGATGCAGTTCCTATTGTAAAGGCAGGATAAATGTTTGATTTTTTTCCTATCAGTTTTCAAAACAAGTTGGTTGTCAAGCATTCTCCAAAGTTGACTAATGATTTTTTTTTTTGTTTTTTGGTTATATTATAAACCTATTAATTTTATTTTCTGTATTTTGTGTATTAAAAATGTTAAGGAGGCCGTCACTATCTGCTTGCCTGGCCATCTGAACAATGCTTTTCACTTTTGTGTTAGGTAAACCTGTAATCTTTCATCAGTTCTTTCAATTACTTTTGCTAGTGTGCAAAAATCAAGTCTATCATTTTAGGCTTGATTGCCTGGAAACTCGTTCGTTGAGAAGCTGCTTTATTTGGATTGACTTTTTTATTATTCACTTTTGAGTATAGAGAATTGAATTCTGAAAAGTTAAATGATAGCATGAGTCTCTCTGTACTTCATTATATTTTATGAGGAAAATTATATGTTGTAGTTAAGAATCTAATTCATTTGGGGACCTTCCAGTACATCAAATAGTTGGCAGGCTTCTCTCTCCACCAGGTATAAGAATTAAAGCCTAGTTCTCCTTTACTAATATCATTCTTTACCTTTGCCATTAGGCAAGATGGTATTTAAAATAAAAAATACAAAATAACCTGTTGTTTTGCCATTAACAGTGATGGTGGCCTGCGTTTTGGAGAAATGGAGCGAGATTGTCAGATTGCCCATGGAGCAGCCCAGTTTTTAAGGGAAAGGTTGTTTGAGGCATCAGATCCCTATCAGGTTCACGTTTGCAATCTTTGTGGAATAATGGCGATTGCTAACACCAGGACCCATACGTATGAATGCAGGGGCTGCCGCAATAAAACCCAGGTGTGTACAGACTTTATTGATAGTTGATATTTGTTTATGATATAACCATGTTGGTATAAACATCTAGGCATATTTACTGTGGTGGAACAGATTGGCATTTTCACAAGTTTGATACCTCTGTAAGATTCCTAGTTTTATTTATTTATATTTTTTAAAAAGATGACCGGTAAGGGGATTTTAACCCTTGACTTGGTGCTGTCAGTGCCATGCTCACCCAAGGAGCTAACCGGCCATCCCTATATGGGATCCGAACCCGTGGTCTTGGTGTTATCAGCATCACACTCTCCCGAGTGAGCCACGGGCCGGCCCAGATTCCTAGTTTTAAACAAGGAAAAAGATAATTAGATTTTTCTAAATACCAGATTTAATGTGGCAATTTCTCTAAGCTGTTCATCTTTTAGAAATAATAAGGACTTATACAAGGAATTTTAGTCAATGAGTTTTTCTTAAACCTTTTAATTGAGGAGGGTGAATATAAATTGTGTCTAGCAGAAGGGGTAAAATACCAAAGCCTTTTAGGAGAAAGAACCACCATAAGCCAAGGTAGCAAGATGAGTGTTCTCAGCCTGCTCATTTTTTTATTATCTGTAGTGCCACGTCTTTACCTTTTTTGGGGGTAGAGAAGCGGCATCACTTTGATAGAGTTTTGCCAATTACTGTTTGTTTTTTCTTTTCAGATTTCTTTGGTGCGAATGCCATATGCATGCAAACTGTTGTTTCAGGAACTTATGTCTATGAGTATTGCACCTCGAATGATGAGTGTTTAACTCTTTTAAAAGATTCTCAACAAGATATTTGTAAATATCTTTGTATCTTGTTTCTCTGATATGGCTTTAAAAGAATGATAAATATGTACTGTGTTGCAATAAAAAACATTTGTTTAATGATTTACGTGCTTTTCTTCTGTAAATAGACAATAAATTTTTATAGTCTTGATGTGTTTATCTTTATTTTGAATTTCTCTGTGTAAAATCAGTGAATATAACTAAAAGTGTTAGTAGACTGGATTAAAAGAAACTTGTTATTAGGCAAGAACAGGGGTTATAGTTATGCACGACTACTTTTAGCTATGCAGACTAATACGTTCTGTAGGTTTATAGCTCAGCACCTTCACCTGTTTAGGAAAAGAAGAAGATAAAAATTAGTTACATGTATGGACATGGTTGACTTTCTGTCAGGTAGTGTAGTGTTTCCAAATAAATGAAAATGTTAAAATGTGGGGATAAAGAATATATGTCATTGCATAAATGATATGCTAGAGTGCTCTGTGGAATTTGAGCTATACAATTTTGGCTATAGAAGGCAACTTTTGCTATAGTGGTATGTATGTGTAAAAGGAGGACCTTCTTATACAACTGAAAGAGCACATTTCACAAATGACCAAGTTGAGATCTTTTCCTTTGTGGTCCAGCTCTCATTCAAAAAAAATTTTTTTTTTCCTTTTTTGTCTTTTTTACTGACCGGTAACGGGATCGCAACCCTCGGTGTTGCGCCCGCACCGCGCTCAGCCAGTGAGCGGGAATGGGTCTCCACATGGGATCCGAACCCTTGGCGGGAGCGCCGCCGCGCTCCCAAGCGGCGCACTCTCCAGTGCGCCACCGGGCCGGCCCTCTCATTCAAAATTTAAAGTGGACACCAAGGTCAAGGGTTCAGATCCCCTTACCAGCCAGTTGCCAAAAACCAAAAAAACCAAACAGCAAACAAAAATGATTACTAAGCACAAAAATGCTTCTATACATTAAAAAAAACTTAATGAAATAAAAATATAAAGCTTTAAAAAAATATATTTTTTTTCCTAGATCCCCTTACTGTCCACCTGCCAAAACAAAAAAAGTGGAGGAATAATTAGTGGCAGAGCTGAGACAAACACATGACTCGACTTGTAGCTTACTGCTCTGTTTGTTTCATTGCTTGGCTTTACACATCTTGGCTAAAGAGAATCTGATCAAATACATCTTTATTTGGTATTTACTTTCATACCACAGCTGAGTGATCTGCACAGTGGCATGGTTTGACAGATGCTGACAGTAAATTTTCTTATTTTTGGCATAAAAGCCAATTTAGGCATCAGTCTAATAGAACTATGTAAATGTGAAGTAGCATTGCTATGACACCATCAGGATGACACCTTCCTTCAGAGGAAGCTTTTTGGCAGTGAAGTGGAGGCAGAACAGAATTGGGTATTTGCCAAATATTCTTTTTACTGGCTTTTTCTTATAAAAGCTGAAAGTGAAAGGCCAGAATTGCCCACAATCATTTCCTTTTAAATGGGAATTGAATATAATTCTTACAACACAAAGGAAAAATGCCATGTAGATAGAAAGTTATGGAAAATATGAGACATTCCAGTCAAGTTTGAATTTTGACTCTTATGTGTAGGATAAGATGAAAAAATCTAAGTCATAATAATGGCATTCAATCAACCGTCCAAATATTCTTTCAGAGCCATGTGCTGTACATTTTAATGGCATACTTAATGCCCTGTGTATTCCCAACATTGCAGAATTTCATTAATAGTGATGTCTGATACTTTCATACTTGGTTCCATTCTTTATTAAGCAAAGGCACTAGTCATTTTTAAGTGGCTGTGAGATTTATTACATACCTTTTTTCAATGGTATTTCTTGTAATGTATCAACCACTGTAATTTTTGCTGATGCTGAAGCCTGTCCTTGGGAATTGGATGCATGGCACTCATATTCTCCAGCATCTTCCTTCCTTAGAGGAGATACCTGTGAAAGAGATAGGATCTTTAGTTCCTCTGTGGTGGTCTTCTCTTTTTTCAGTGGCTTCAATTAGGTCATTATTTCGTGTTTCCTAAGATGACTAGGGGATTTGTAGCAAAGGGACTGCTAGAAGTAGTGCAAATCTCGCACTTGGAGACTTACATAACTACTGTATTTGGTCTGTCAAGAGGATTCATACTCTGGGGAAATGTCATAGACACCTTTTGATCACACTGCATAGATTAAAAACTGGATAGGTGCACATATCAGTTTGAGGGAAAACTTCACAAGGTGTATGATCTAAGTACTATCTATGAATATCAAAAGTCAAGTAAAATAAAATATTTATTAATAATTGATTAAAATAATTAATGCTTGGATCATTTAGTTCCCTGTGAGGGTTTTCCTTTAAACTCTTAGGAAAAAATAGTTCTCATTAACTCATTGGTTGTTTCCAAAATATCTAATAGACAGCAACTTCCTTTAGTTCCTTTGAAAGAGGAGCAGCACCACCACGGTAGGGCTGTTCCAAAGGAATGTAGGAGAGCAAGTTTTACAGGCTGACCATACATTGTGCACCTTTGCCAGGTCTGCTTGTGTCTAATCCTGAGAATGAAATTCTTGCTAGCTCTTGGTACTCACCAGCACCCAGCCAGTGACTTCATGCTTTTCTGGGCCACCCCGGGTCTGAATGGCCAGGTTGTCCCGGTCACCAGGCAAGAGTTCTGTTCTTTGAACTCCATAGTCATTTCTTTGTACCTGCGAAAACAAAGGAAAGGGTTTCAGTTCTCTGCACTGAAACAACTTGGAAGTAGCCACATTCCTAGAGGTGTGCAGACTGTACATCAGACTTTCTAAGTAGATTAAACTCAGCAATACTCACACATTTCCCCTTTCCTGAGTACGGTTGACCATGAACAACATGGAGGTTAGGTGCAGTCAAAAATTCACAGATAGGGCCGGCCCGGTGGCGCACTGCTACAGTGCGCCGCTTGTGAAGCGCAGCGGCGCTCCCGCTGAGGGTTCAGATCCCACATACAGACCGGCCGCTCACTGGCTGAGCGAGGTGCGGGGGCAACACCGAGGGTTGCGATCCCGTTGCCGGTCCCGGTCCGGTACGGGCGCGACACTGAGGGTTGCGATCTGTTGCCGGTCACAAAAAAAGAGACAAAAAGGGGAAAAAAAAAAAAAAAATTCACATATAACTTTTCCCCACTAGCGTTACTGAAGTAGTTAAGTAACTTGAATAAAGCACTTAAGTAGTTGGCCTTGTAGAACCGCACATACAAAAAGTCAGCCCTCCCTAGTAGGTTCTGCATCCCTGGAATATTTGATCTGTGGTTGGTTAAATCCACGGACGCAGAACCTGCAGTTATGGAGGGCTAACTACTTGTTGAAAAAAATCCATGTACACGTGGACCTGCGCAGGATAAACCCATGTTTTTCAAGGGTCAACTGTGTTTATAAAGTATAGTTCCTCTCTTATTTCTTCCTGCCAGTTTCCCTCTGAGCTTACATGTGCTAAACTAGTATATTTTTCTGCATGCTTGGGGAATGCACATGGTCATAATTTCCTGCCACTGGCTACCATCATTCATTCATGCCCTTGGAAATTCTGCTACCCAGTACCAGGCCTTTTCTTGCCTGACATGCCATGTTTGACTGACAAACTGTCACCCAGTGCTAGGTTTGATGCTTGGAACCTAGAGGCTCTTCCTGCAGCAACCTCAGCCTCATCAACGGAAAACAGGCTGAGTCCAAAGCCAGTATCATTACTTTGTTCTAAGGGCTAAAAGATTTATCAAATGATTTACTGAAGACCGGAGATCAAAACCACCCATCAAATGCATGCTGCTGTCATTGTTCTCTTATGATAAAACTTGCTGCTCGTCCCTGTGCATGTCATGATGAGATTCAGAAGAAATTCAGTTTCCTTGGTTCAAGGCCAGTAATGAATACCGTCCTTATTTTTCCCCTCATTCTAAAAAGCAAACAATGTTCATTATAAAAATTTTGGAAAATATACAAAAATACACAGAAAAATAAAATTTACTTGTACCCCCACCATACATATGCATTTAGCAGTTGAGTTAAAGTACAAATATTTTAAGGCTTGTGAGTTTTAAAAAATACCAAAGGGTACATGAAGCAATGTTTCATTCCATCCCAAGCCTCCTTTAAGAGCCAAGTTAATGTTTATTGCCATTACCTGTGAAATTAAAAAGAAGGGTTTACAACTTCAAATAGGTAGTTTCCTTTTCATTTTCTTCTTATAACATAGCAGATCTTCAGTTAAAAGAGACCAGATCATAGTATATAAATGCTTTTTTTTTTGATACTCTTTGTCAGTGTTGCTTTTCTCATGTTGAATCTCACTCCTACCATGTACTGTTACTAAGCCGTGTCTCAGCTTCAAACCTACCATTTTCTCTGCTCTTTGGTGCCAGGGCAGGGACTCTGCAAAACGTGTGATCTAGACCAATCATATAAAAAATACCTAGCATGATAGATTTGGAATGACTAGTTCTTTACTTTTTTGTTTATTTTTGTTTGTTTGTTTCCTGGGATTTCCCCACATTGTAACTATTGGTGATGGAAAACCGGGTAACTTAATTCTTTCTCATATGAATGCTATGAAGACAAATAGATATACTCAATAGGCATCTTTTTCCTAAAGTTTCCCAAGTAAGCTGGCAGAAATGTTTTATGCTAGTGCAGATTTTGAAATAGTTATTTAAAAATGGGTTTTAGGGCCGGCCCGTGGCTCACTCGGGTGAGTGTGGTTCTGATAATGCCAAGGCCATGGGTTCGGATCCCATATAGGGATGGCCGGTTAGCTCACTGGGTGAGCGTGGTGCTGACAACACCAAGTCAAGGGTTAAGATCCCCTTACCGGTCATCTTTTAAAAAAAAAAAAATAAAAAAATAAAAATAAAAATAAAAATAAAAATGGGTTTTAATGATACTTTGATATACATATTAATTTGATTCAACAGCTAAAGTAATATGACTCTGGCCTTTACTTACTGAATCTCAGAATCCTATAAGGGGTTTATTGTGTGACCAAAGCAGAAAAATAAACACTACAGCATAGAAATAGTGAGTCTTAGCAGCTGAGCTGTTGATCCTCAGTTCATGTAGCTCTTAGTAAAAAGCATTTTGTGCCAATTAACCTGATCCACTATGCACAATTGTTCTTATTAAATATAATATTTAACAGAACTCATGATGTGTTCTAATTAATGTATTATAAGAAGTTATACACCATGTAGAAAACAGAAATGCCAAGAATTTTTACATGGCAAATTTTTATTTGGCAAACTCTCCCTTGCTTGTATAAGAGGAATTTACGTGTTGATAAGTATGTGTTTTCTAGTTAAATTTAAAAAAAGATACAGGCTGAGAAAAGTGGTTTCTAAGACAATTCTGCAGATATTCAATGCACTGGAAATGCCTCAAAATCTAGAAATCTGTAGGGCAGAGTAAACTGTCTAGTAGTCACTGCTCACCACGAAAGGTTGACTAGGGGTAAGATTAGAGGGAGACCCAGGAAGTCATGTCAGCCCCTTCTTGTATGAGTTGCAACAAAGTCTTCCTGAATCTTGCTATTGCAAATAAGCAATAAATAGGAAAAAGTACCAATGATTACAGAAGCAGGATGGATTACTCTGATTCCTATAGGTCAATAAATTTCAAGGGCTCACTGAATTTCAGTGAAACTTTAAAGATATTTATGCATTATAGGACATATTTGCTATCTTTTCGGTGAATTTTCAGGAGAGTTTTATGATAAAATAGAATACATATCTTTGTTAAAACTTTCAGATCCCCAGCAACTGTAAACAAATAAAGGACAAAATGATTGCCAAGGAAAAAAATATTTGTAATACATGATAAAGGGTCGCTATCTCTAATGTAAAAAAAAAAAAAAAAGCCACAGATTGATTATAACAAGAAACAATCCAATAAAAAATGGGTAAAGGATATGAACAGGCAATTCACAAAAAGAAAACTGAAATGTGAAAAATCTTCTCAGTGTAGTCAAGGAAATGAAAGCAATAATGGAGATAACACCTTTACCCATGTATTAACAAAAACTAACAAGAGAGGGTAATATTCAGTGCTGGTGAGGATGGGGAAATGGCCCCCATACACTGCTGGTGGGAGTGTGAATTACTGCAGTCCACTTAGAAAGTAATCTGACAATGTCTATGAAAACCAAAACAAATATTTTGATTTAGTCATATAACTTGTGGGGAATCTATCCTATAGAAATGAAAGCACAAGTATAGGATATGTGTACTCAGATGTTTAAGGTAGCATTGTTTAAGGTGACAAAAAATTGGTAACAACAGAAACAATATAGAAATGGTTTACTAAATTATCATACATTCATACTTGGAAGATTATGTATCTATTAAGAAGCAGTCTTGGGGGAATGTCCATGGAGTATGTGTTGAGAAAAATCAAGTTTCAGAGTAATCTATCAGCACATTATATTTCCGCCTCAGCCCTCATACTAGGGATATGTGTTTGTATATATTTGGGCATGAAAAAGGGTATGGAGAGTTCACATGGGGTTTTTTTTAGGGAGTGGGAGGCGGGTGGGGGGGGATTCTGAACTCTCTTTATACATCTTTGAAGAGTTTCTCCTTATTGCCATTATCACTATTTTTTTTCTGTGCCTCATCTTGGAAATGACACTATCAGTATTTTTAATTAAAAAAAAAAAGACCTCTTAGAGGCCATGAAACATTCCTAATTTGAAGAAATGTTCAGGCAGGAAAAGACTTAAATAGAGAGTCTCCTGATTTTGGGAAGGAATTCTAGGTGTTCTGCCTTCCCTGTAAGCATCATCTCTAATTTACCAGGGTTAAGTCAAATATGGCTATTTCAGTTCACGTCCTCATTTCAAAATATTGCCCTTGGAATCTTTCTAGGCTAGGAGTTTGCTGAAAGGTATGGAACTTGTTAATGCCAGTGTGATAATAACTACTGGTAGGGAAAGTACAGACCCCTCACCAGGCTGCGCCGACCATAAGAACTGCCTCTGTGGCCTCAAGTGTCCTGAGAGAAGGCTGGTCCCATTGGTCCTGCTGTTGCTAAGAATCCTTGAGCAAGGAAGACATGCTGTCTTCTTTGAACCTCAGTTTCTCTGTTTAACAAGTGATGATTCTAATATTCATTTCTACCCAAAAAGAAGTTCTATGCTTAAACTGGATTTGAGACATGTGACCTTTTTTTTTTTTTGCCTTTGGCAGCAGCCAGCATGGGGATCTGAACCCTGGACCTTGGAGCAAAGTGAAATTTTATTGCTCCTTTTAACCGAACTTTCAGCTGTAACGAACAGCTATAGTATAGCTGGTATTGTTTCTGCCTACCCCCATTCCCAGGCATTTTCTGGTATTGATACCCAGACTTTACTCAAGCCAGGTGGTTTCATGGAGGTGCCAGTTTCAGTGGCTGCATCCTTCTGGCCACATGGGGGAGCCAGAGTTTGGCAGGTGACCCCACCTGGGTCAGAGCCCTTCAGTGGGAGTTTTGTAGTTCAGTAGGGAGAGGGGAAGCCTTTTCTTTTTTCTGGGATCTTTAAGCTGGGATAATAATATGAGCTCATAGCTGCCAGTGACATCATCGCCCACTGTGGAGCAAACTTTCTGAAGGAGAGGAAAACGAGACTAATATATTGAGAACAAAGAGTCGAGTCAGAGTTCTGATGACATTGTGTACCTGGATCCAGCTGCCCTTGAGGTGGGAATCACTTTATTTTAGCTAAGCTAGTTTGAAATGAATTTCCGCAACTTTCAATGGAAAAAGTTCTGACGGCAGAAGCCAAATCCCGCCTGGAGTTCCAGAATATGCTCCTCTGGTTACACAACAAGCAAACAAAATAATCAAGAGAGACCATCATTCATCTCAGAGCTTGGTGGTGAAGTAAACTAGCTGAAAAGGGATTTCTGGTTATGCCTTTTTACTTAAACTAAATCTCCTTTTCCATAGCACGAGTTTGATGATTTTTTTTTTGCTTCATGAGATAGTTGTGACGCTAAATGATTCAAAACATATAAAAAGGGCAAAAATGAATCAAGTCAAAGGTATACCTGTTCTCCAATGTTCATTGCAGCACTATTTACAATAGCTAAGAGTTAGAACCAGCCCAAATGTCTATCATCAGATGAGTGGATATGGAAACTGTGGTATATCTACACAATGGAATACTACTCTGCTATAAAAAAGAATGAAATACTGCCATTTGCAACAACGTGGATGAACCTAGAGAGAATTAGATTAAGTGAAACGAGTCAGGCACAGAAAGAGAAATATCACATGTTCTCACTTATTTGTGGGAGCTAAAAATAAATAAATAAATACACAAATAAACTGGGGGGGGGGAGGGAAGAAGACAAACAATTACAATTCCTTGAAGTTGATACGACAAGCAAACAGATATGAGGTTGTTGGGTGGGAGGATGGAGGGAGGTTTTGGTAATGGGCCGCAATGATCAACCACATTGTATATTGACAAAATAAAATAAAATTTAAAAAAAAAAGAGGGACAGGCTGTCATGAGAATAAATAAGGTAACACATGGAAAAAAAAAGTAAAAAGGGAAAAATGTAAATGTGCAATATAATTGTAAGATATTATTTGATCTGGCAAATGAGTGTTTTCTTTTCTTTTTGCTATGGGTTAAATGTGTCTCCCAAAAGTTCATGTATTGGAGACTTGACCCCCATTGTAACAGTGCTAAGGGGTGGGAAATCTGATTATGGTATTTGAAAGGTGGGGCCTTTAAGAGATTAGATTGTGAAGACTGTGCCCTTGTGAATGGATTGGTTCATTCATTTAGTAATGGGTGTGGTTCTGATGACTTTATAAGGAGAGCAAGTCAGGAGTTTAGCTCTCTCTCTTGCTCAGCCCATTCTTACCATGTGACACCCTGGTTGCCACAGGACCCTGTAGAGAGTTCCCACTAAGAAGGCCCTTATCAGATGTATTCCCCGGACTTTGAACTTCTCAGTCTTCAAAATTGTAAGAAATAAATTTCATTTCTTTATAAATTACCCAGTTTCAGGTATTCTGTTATAAGCAACAGAAATGTACTAATACGCCCTTCTACAGACATGCTGAGAATATGGTGTCCTTCAGATGTGAAGATAATTGTAAAAGAGAATGCCACTTGAAGAGAAAAATTTCTAGGAACAGTAGCTAATATCTACTGAGTGCTAACTATTTAGCACAATTTAGGCAATTTTTGAGGTCAGTAAATACATTCAGTGGATCCAGATTTTACCTGCATTACTTTATTTACCCTTTTTTGGAGTGGGGGGTGGTGGTGGCTGGCTGGTACAGGGATCCAAACCTGTGACCTTGGGGTTACAAGGCTGTGCTCTAACCAACTGAGCTAACCGGTCAGTCCTGGCTTTATTTAATCTTTCCAGGAATTATATGCTACTTTCACCTTGCAGAGGAGGGATCTGAGGCTTCAGCAGTGGTTCTCAGTCTGGGGATGATTCCCCCCACCCTGGAGATGTTTGGAAATGTCTGGAGACGTTCTTAATTGTCATGACAGGGGGGTTGGAATTGTGGGTTGGATGTTACTGGTATCTAATAGGGAGAGTCCAGGGATGCTGCTAAACATCTTCCAAAGCACAGGTGCCCCCACAACAATGAATCATCTGGTCCAAAATGTCAGTGGTGCTGAAGCTGAGAAACCGTGGTTTACAGAGAACCCAGCCAGTCTGGTTAAGGGACTCATGCAAATATTTCCATTTGGAAGGTCATTTCAAAGCTAATTTAGAAAAAGAATATCATGCTTTTCCACTTGGGGCAGCATTCAGCAAAATTCAGAGAGGAGGAAATTTTTTCTTTGGTGTTCCTCCCTTGTTTCTTTTCAATGCTCTGTTCTGGAGTGTCCTACTCTGTCCCTAACTTAGGGTCCCACAGCCTTGGTACCTCGAGGGATCGCTCCCACCTTGCTCCTGCCATCCCACTCCCACAGCCTGTAAAACTCACTCATCCTATTTTCCAGCACTTAGGGAATCTGATAAAAATAACCTGTGCTCTCAGGAAAAGGCTACAGAGCTTTGCTCTCTTTACCTTCTTAGCCATGTCCTCCCAGTAGAATTTAAATCCCAGCAGACAGGATCCAAACGATTAGCTAAATGTTGAGGACTTCTTTCTCATGTGAGGAGAATGACGCCAAATAGATGGAGAGAAACATTTTGGGGCAGTAAGAGAGGAACTCACACTCTTAACTCCTATGCTATACCGTCTCCACTGGGGGCACACACACATGTCCCCACGCACACATGTGAACTCAGCGGGTGGCTTTGGGCATTCAGCAGGATCTTTCTTCCAGTTTCTCAGGTTCTCTGCTAGGGCACTGCTAACAAAAGCTGGGCAGGGACTGTTTTTGACATCAGTAAAAACATTCAATGGATCCAGAGGAGGTGTCTGTAAGATTGCCATAGGCTTCCCCATTGAAGAGCAGCAGGAAATGGAACAGGCTGAGGATTTCACATTATTACCATCCTTGTGCAGTGCTGAGGATTTTATGTTATTATCATTCTTTGTGCAGTGCAAAAGAAGCTTGTCAGTCTAGGATGTCTTCTGGAAATCTGTGCCACTGACCTTGTTCCAGATGAGGACAGGGGTTGGGATTCCAATGACCTCACAGCTCAAGTACAACTGGGCACCAGTGACGTTCCAGATGTCCTTGGGAGGCGTCACTATGGAAGGACCTACAAGAGACAGCACAAAGAAAACCCATCTCTTAAACAGTGCTTAACATTAGCCAGCACTTAGGAAGTAAATACTTGAGTATGTTTCCGAGGCCTTCCCCTCTGTGGATTATCTAAAGCACATTTCAGACACCAGACTGGCTTCTTCCGGCCACCAGCAAGACTTTCAGCTCTACTCTGGGAAAGTGTAAATCTAAACAAACAAACAAAAACAATCAGGAAGAAAAATTTATTGTTAACAAAATTTTCTTTTCCCCCAAACCATGGTTAAATGTTTTAATTTACCAGTTGTTTTGCATTATCTGGGACTTTTCCATTAATATAGGGATATTTCAGTTCCAAAATGTTCGATGTTTTTCTTCCTTTGTTTACCAGTATTTCTATGTGGGGGTGAAAAACAACCACTCCTTGGGTAATGTAAGAAATAAGAATCTAAGAGGATGCTTGAAAATGTGCTGAGCACACAGACAAGATGGAAGGCCCTGCCTCAAGGAGCTTAGGATCTAAGGTTAACAAGTCAATGGTGATCAGGCAGGGATGAAGAGAAAAACAGGGGGTGCCGTGTACCCTGGGGGACTGGAATGAGGTGCCTTTGAACAGAAGGGACCTGGAGGTCAAGGAAGATGGTGGCAGGGTCTCCAGTGCAGGTCAGGGGAGTTAGCAGGTGAAAGAGAAGAGGAATGACTAGCCAATTGTGTGTGACCAGGGCCCCTGAGGAGAGGGCTCTTTCTCAAGGTTCTCAGTGTCCAGGTCCCTGGCAGGGGACACTGGCACTGGGGGGCACCCTCCAGGCACTGCCCGAATAGAGTTGGCCAGTGTGGGACCACCCGAGAGAGGCCAGAGGGACACCTCTTATTCCCCCCAATTCTAGAACAGATCCTTCCCCTTCTCTATCCTAGCTCCTTTATATGAGAAGGTCTTTACTCAGAATCAACATTGAGGTTGTGCATCCTTCTTGCTACAGAAGTGGTGTGATGCTCTGGTTCTGGGGTCACCAAACGATGGCCTGTGGGCCAAATGTGACCAGCCACCTATTTTTGAATGGCCTGCAAGTGAAGAATGGTCTTTGTGTTTTTAAATGGTTGAAAAAAAATTTTAAAGAAGGATAATATTTCATGATATTAGAAAATTGTAAGAAATTCACATTTCACTGTCCATAAAGTAATGTTTTATTGAAACACAGCCATACCCATTTGTTTACATATTGTCACGGCAGGGTAGAGCAGTCATGGCTGAGACTATGGCCTAAAACAGTCACTCTCTGGTCCTTTACAGAAGAAACTTGCTGATTCCTATTCTAATCAAGTGAGGGGAGACTGATGCCTAAATGAGATGTCATGGGAAAGTCTCAGGACTTCAATCCTTTACACATTCCCTGGAGCTGAAGCTAGTAATCCTGCTGGGTGACTTCTGGTTCAGCAAAACAGTACGTTTTTGAAGCCACAGATACTGAAGAGCCTGTGCTTGCTTACTGCTCCTTTTCCCTGAGGGCTGGCTCCCCAACATCTGCAGCAGAAGAGACATAGGCACTTACTTTTTAGGGAGTGGTAATTAGCACGTCACTTCTGCTAATTCTGAATGCCAGGGTTCAGCCACTGGGCACTTGGAAGAAAGAAAGACTTGGAAGGGGCATAGAGCTGGGAGCCTGGGTTCCCTGCATGGGACAGCGTGCTACTCCAGAACCAAATGTGGCCCTTACTCAATGATCAGCTCTGCTTCTTGAATGAATGAGTTAATTATTCCTTTTGAATTCCAAATCTCTGACGCTTTGAGTCTCTAGCCTAGTAAAACATCTAACTGCAGGGTCATCTTGCCTCAGAGTCCTGGGAAAGGGACAACCTCCCCTTTGGGCCTGGAAAGTTTTCTGGCATAATCAGCATTCAAAGGACATGAAATCTCTCCTTTTGCAACAGGCTATTTCCAGAACACTAATTTCTTGTAACAGAAAGGAAATGACCCCAGTATGTAAGATTTTCCCACTCATCTAAAGTATTAGAAGTTGATTTTTTTTAATCCCTCGGGATATTTGTATTTTTTTCCATTCATAAGAATGTGCAAAACAAAGTTTTGAAAGCTCTAAATATATTTCATGCTTCCTTCCCTGCAAACCATAGATCTGAATAGGAAGTATATATCTTGGCCGGGGTCTAGGCTTTTCTGTTGCGAACGTGGATGTGGTGAGCATAGTGGTACTGTATTTATGTTTCTGGCTCTGTCTCAGACGTTTCCTAGTCTGGATGCCCCAATATAGCATCCTGCAAAGATCTGAGCCTCATGCTATCCCAGCTTTCCTCCAGGGCCCTGGGACCCCAAGGGCTTGGACGCCACATAACCGGATCTGGCTGGACTTTGAACTACTTTCTCCCACCTCTCTGAGGGACCCCTACTGCTCTGTCCTCCTTCCCACACACAGACTTGGCAGGATGACTTCAAAGCTCCGGGGATCTCCAGGGATTGTTCTGAGAAGAGCACACCAGTGTTCAGAGATTTGGAGGAGCTCAGAAACAAAGCTGCTGCTCACGTATCCAAACCACACAAGGAATGCAAGATGTTTTCATTGTGAGGATCTCAGTGCTTCAGCCTCACAAAAATCCACTTATTTTAACCTGCCTCCATCTTGCTATATAGTCAGTCCAGGTAGCAGAGTTGCCAGTCTTGGTCAAGTGAAGGATTCTTGAGTGCACATGGAAGAATTCCAGCCTGATTTTCTGTCAGAGATCTTGAAGATTTGCTATGTATTTTTCCCATGGCATAATTTTTAAATAGGTTATCTTAGTTTTAATACAGTCCAATGTATCAAGTTTTTTCTTTTATAGTTAGTGCTTCTCGTGTCCTGTTTAAAAAGATTTTTGCCTAGTACAAGGCTATAAAGATCTCCTGTTTTCTTCTACAAGCTTTATGGTTTTACCTTTCACATTTTGGTTTTTGGTCCACCTTGAATTAATTTTTGGGCATATTGTGAGGTAGAGGTCAAGGTTCATTTTTCCCCCCAAAAGGACATGCAATTGCTTTAGCACCATTTGTTGAAATGAACATTCTTTTTTACTGAATTGTTCATAATGCCCTTGTGGTAAGTCTGTTGTTATGTGGGCCTATTTCTGGACATTGGTCTCTCCTGGCACCACTAATCATGATATAATTTAGAAATTAATTATGCTAAAATTCAAGCACTGAATAGAGGGCGAATCTATTATAATCTATCTCCCTCCAATCTGCTTATTATTCCAAGAGGCAAAACATTCTAGGAGAAGCAATAATTCTTTAAAAACCTTTGAACCCAGGAATACTTTGAGAGCCATCACCAGGGGTTTCAAGTCACGCTGTGGGTTCCTCCTTCTTTCTCCCAGTTCTTGAAATACATGTAAGACCTTAGGTGAATGGGCTGAGTCAACATTTGGACTATTCTAAAAATATGAATGATTTTGTCAGTTCTGCTACCAGATTCTGCAAGAGTCTACCAATTCTACAAAATTTCCATGCCACAAAAATCTGTTATTCACTGACTTCTGTTAGGGGGATGGGGTGAAAGGGCAGAGGAGAGGACCAGTCTGCTGCACGACATTTACAAAACTCTGGGGCTATTTCAAGTATCCTGGAACAAATGCTGGATTCACTAACAATGAAAAGTTTACCAAACAATATCTAAACTGGAGTGTGCTAATCTACAGAATGGCCTTTAGGTTTTTTTTTTTTTTTTTAAAAGATGACAAGTAAGGGGATCTTAACCCTTGACTTGGTGTTGTCAGCTCCACACTCTCCCAAGTGAGCTAACGGGTCGGGCCATCCCTATATAGGATCCGAACCCGTGGCCTTGGTATTATCAGCACCACACTCTCCCGAGTGAGCCACGGGCCGGCCCTCTGAAGGTTCTGTTCTACCTCAGGAGAGCACTCAGCTCAATGACTCTTTACTAAATAACTTCTCTTTCCTCTCTGCCTTTCTTCCAAGAAGGCCTAGGCAGACACAGAACTCATGTCTGTTTTTAAGGACAAAAGAATTTTTGGTTTACTCTGAGCTTATTTTCCCAAGCTCAGAGGTAACGACATTGCCATCTAAGTCACGCTCAGTGTTTGGATTCCATTTAAAACAAATCAGAGAAGGTTTAAATGTATAGGCACAAACACCAGGATAGGTCCAATTATTTTTTTATTCTTGCTTTCGTTCTAGTAAGGACTTCAGGCTGCTCAAACATCGTCTAGCAAACATCCTGTCCGTAGAATGACTGACTGCCCACTGCCTCCCTCTGGCCCTTTCCCACCCTGGGCAACACCAGAAAGCAATCAAGCTGTCCACAGTGCTGCTTGGTCGCTGGTGTAAGGAAAAGTCCACCCCAAGTCTTCCCCCACCTCAAACCCACCCATATTTTTCCTTTTTCTTTTTTTTTTTTTTTAAAAGATGGGCGGTAAGGGGATCTTTAACCCTCAGCTTGGTGTTGTCAGCACCACACTCTCCCAAGTGAGCCACGGGCCAGCCCTCACCCATATTTTTCTAAGTTGACTGTCCCCAAACAAGGCTACCCCGTTTTCCTCTCTTAAACTTACACAACTCAGTTAATTCTCATTCAACCTTATTTGATCCTTCTCAACTCTCTAAGTTCATTTTCTTGATCCCCTATTTTATTTTATTTTTTCTTGAAACATAATTGATTGTATATATCTGTGGGGTATAGTGTTGAATATTGATACCTCTGTACAATATGAGATGTTCAAATCAGGATGATTAGTATATTCAACATTACACAATGGAATAATTTTTTGTGGCCCTTTACCAATTTCTTACTATCCCTGCATCCCTAATTTTTGTAATTCTTGCCCAGTAACCTTAGATGATGGTCTCTACTTTTAAATCATTCCTGAAAGGGAAAGAAGAAGAAGAAAGAAGGGAGAAAGGAAGTGGAGGAGAAGAAAGAAAATGAAATGAAAAAAGACAGCCAGATCCTAAATGAAGTTGTAGCAAGGAAGAAGAAAGTTCTAAGTTTGGAAGCAAACTAAAATTCTATT